GTTTTTATTGACCTACAAATTCTTATAGTCTTGTACTTACCTATTAATTTCATGAAATTGTTTAAATATATTAATTAGGTAATCTTGTTTGTGCAGGTTAGTGCAGTTCAGGCATCTATAGTCATGTTAGCATAGGCACTTACACTTAGACAGAAGTGGAATCCTGAAGTGTATAATCACGTTAACAAAGTGTTTGAAACATTGTCTAAGTTTGTGCTTGTAGATATGGATGACATAAAAGCCAGGATGGAAAATTTACAATGTGAATATCATGACGAAGGTGTACTTGATGAGGGCAAACATCATGGAGTGGGTGAAAGTAGCAGGGCTATAGATGACCTAGCTCCATCCACATAACCAGCAGTTGAGGAACACAGAAGATATAACACACGAAAGAAACAGTATCAACTAAAGAGAAGGCGATCATTGTAATAGGGTCTTGACCATTGTAATTTTATTCATTTTGAGCGATGTAATGTATTGGTCATTTTGACTCACCCAATTTGTTCAATGAATTTTGTTAAGTACAATTTCGTTACGTCTATCTATTTTCTTACTTGTGAAGTTCAAATGATATTATGTGAGGTGCTTATGTTGTAAAATTGTTTAAAGAGAGAAACAGTAACGATGTTTAACATGTCGAACTTGTAAAATATGAATTAGCGGCTATTGGTTGAGTCACTAATTTGCGTATTGGTTCAAAATTAATGGCCATCCTAGTGATGGTCCTCCCTAGTTCTCACTAAAATTTGCTGCTAAATTAATCTCTCTGCTACTTGCTTGAGTCTAAAGTCAATGATTTAAAAAGGTATGGTTAAGTGACCAGTGAGACCAAACTGAGACCAACTGATACTTCACATGTATTAGTGACCAATGACATTGAGACCAAAACTTCATAATGAGCATTGAGACCAACTGATCCTTCACATGTATAAGTGATCAGTGACATTTTCGGATGTACAACATCCGAAAAAATCTCAATTTCGGATGTTAGACATCCGAAATTATTTTCGGATGTCCAACATCTAAAATTATGATGTTTTCGGATGCTGTACATCCGAAAATGTCACTACGAATATCTAGAGACTCCTTGGATGTTCACAATGACATTACAACATCCGAAATTGTGACGTTTTGAGATGTTATACATCCGAAATTTTGACATTTTCAGATGTTATACGTCGGAAAATGTCGTTGTGAACATCCAAGGAGTCTCTGGATGTTCGCAGTGATATTTTCAGATGTACACCATCCGAAAACATCACAATTTCGGATGTTGGATATCCGAAATTATTTTTGGATGTCCAACATCCGAAAATTTGATATTTTCGGATGTTGTACATCCGAAAATGTCACTGTAAACATCCAGAGATTCCCTGGATATTCCCAATGAGTTCAACATCCTAACACTTGATATTTTGGGATGTTCAACATCCCAAAATATGAACTATCAATTGATATTTAGTAGCATGTGATCACCTATATGTCACTGGTCTATCAACTTATTGTTTTATCAACTTATTAGTAGCATGTGAACTATCAATTATGTTATTAATATCAATCAATTATGCTATTAACTCAAATTGTGAAAAGATGAAGCTAATGCACAATTGCAATTGTCATCTATATGCAACTATTTTATTTTTGAACAAAGCCTTTACAAATTAACATAGCCTATTTGCAATCTAAAATAGCTTTCAATAGGGACTTCAAAGTCTCCATTTCAAGATTTATGGCAACACAGAAGTACAATAAGTACAGCAATACAATATTAATAATATTAATATCAAGTAATTCACTCTATCGGTTCTCTGCATGCCCTCCTAGTATGACTATCTGCACTGCATCGTTTGCACTTCAAAAACTTGGTGATCGGATGTTCCGTCTCAGATATTCTTCGTTGCTTTTTTGGCCTACAGGGAAGGCGTGTAGTCATTTGTGGCAACATTGTCCTATTGTAAATACCTGTCAACTCAATATCATCAGGGCCAGGCACAAAGGGAGTTTCAAATGCTCTTTTAAAGTATTCCACTGTGAAATACTTAAGGTAGTACATAATGGGATCCAAATGCATATGGTTAATGGCCGCAATGGCATGGGCACACGGAATACTATTGAGTTTCCATTTTCTACAACACATGTCGAATGTGTTAAATCGACAATGTTCTTCTTCCCAAGATAGTGAATCTCAAACTGCGTGTTCGTGGTGGATATAACTGTGTGTAAAAATTGAGCCTTCATCTTCCGCAGGTCAAGTAATACTTGGGCCTTTGATACTAGCATGCCGCTCAAAGTATTACCTAACTCCCTCTTCTCTTCAAACCTGGTCATCAACTATACCCTTATTTCTTCACACATTGTAATGATCGGCTTCTCTCGAGCAGATAAAATCCAAGCATTGAAAGACTCGGTTATGTTTGAGGTAAGATGACTGCATCTAGACCCTAGAAAATAGGCATCTGCCCAAAATTTTGGGGGAATATTCTTAATCCACTCATATGCTTCTGGGTCGGCACACTGTATATCAAACATTATTTTTTTAAACTCACCAATGGTCACTTTACGGTTTGCTTTCCAAAACAGCATCAGTAATACTTCAGTATTTGCTGACTTCTTCATAAAGCCCTTGAAGTTCTCTCCCATATGTCACATGCAGAATGATGGAAAATAAGTGGGAAAGCATTTTTCTATTGCTTCTGTCAGGGTTTTCTGTCGATCTGATATATTGGTTAAGGCAGGCAGATTAGGATACACATTCAATAGCTCACTCAATATACTTAAGAATCAATTCCAACTTTAGAGTTCTCCTTCTCAACCACTGCAATTGCCAATGGAAAGTGATGGCACACAATAATATGCTTTAATATTTTCCTTTTAGGAATGTCTCATCAATACCAATTAGTGGCCTGCATCCATTAATAAAATCCATAATGCATGGACGATAAGTAATAAATAGTCGTTTGAACCTGTCTTCATCTGTATGGATGCGAACTTCGGTTATGGGGTTGGTTCTTCGGATCTTCTCAATATACAGGGAGAGGTCATGGTATTGTTCTTCTTGTGATCCATCTATCATCTCTCTAGCAACCTCTTTTTCCCGCCAAGCTTGCATTTAGGAAAGCCTAACCATGTGATCACGTTAAACATCCTTTATAATGCCTTTTGCTTTAATTTTTGGTTGGTCAAGAAGGCAGCCTTTAATCTTTTTTGCCACCCAATCACTACGAGCTAGAGGATGATGGACCCTCCTCATTGGACCACTATATGTGTGCTCTTTAACCATAGACTTCACTTTAAAGTATGAGGTACTGTCAACTCGTAAGCACCGCACTTGCCATGTGCATCCATCTGCCTTACAAGTTGCCCACACCTATCCTAATTCACTTTTGTCAGACTTTAAAACAAAATTGTTATAGATTGCAAACTCAACTAGATAACGCCGACATTCATTAACATTTTCAAAAAATTGCCCAACATTCAATTGAACCTCGTTACCAACTCCTCTACATGGACTCTCTAGTGGTTCAATATCCGCCATATCACGCTCTGGTATGAGCTCAGGTTTGGGTGCCACTTGAATGTTTTGATCTTGCTCAGGTAAAGCGTTACATCGACTGTTGACAAAAGACAAAGTGTGAGATGAAGCAATAATTTTTGCACATATACGATTAAAATAAAATAATTTACAGGTAAAAAAATAAATCGTAGATATATCTATTCTTTGAAGATGGGCACACTTGGTTAAATTTCCAAAATGATTTTTTAGTTCTTCCAATGAACTATTCCCATTATACTTGGTGACCTTAAATTTTCCTCTTTTATAAATACCATATCCGTCATTTCCAAAATAACTTTTTAGTTCCTCCAATGAACTATTCTCATTATACTTGGTGACCTTCAATTTTCCTCCTTTATAAATAACACATCTGTCATCTGCATTCGTCTCAAATGACCTCCCATATCGAAATACCAGTTGCACTCCCTCAGTAGCCATCGTCAATACTACTGTATTAAATGAATAGCAAAATTTCTGTTATAAAAAATCAATACAAAAAAAGTACCAAAAATTGGGTTATTTATAAGTACTTTAGGGTTCATAAAATCTGAGTATTACATAATAGATTGAAATAGTATACTACTAAAATTGTAACTAATAAACATTAAACAAAATAAAACAACAAATACACACATAAACACAAAATAAACAATAAATTTTAATGCAAACAAACAAATTTAACAATTATTTAGCTAAAACAAGGAATACAATGTATCAACATGATACAAACAACAAATAATTATATAAAACAAACAACTTCATCAATATAAAACAAATTTCATTTATTAATAAAAAATACACAACAAATATTAATAAAAAATATAATATCCTATAAAATAACCGATAATAAAGTACCAATAACGTCTAAATAGTGAGTCAATCTCTTCAACTTTGTGGATTACTGTATTAGTTGACAGTATTAGGGGATAGTAAAGGGGGTATGATGTGTTTTTCCCAACTTTATAAAAAGAAAATAAATAACTTTCCTCCAATAAGCGGAAAAACTTGACACGAAAAATTTCGGATATTCAACATTCGAAAATCTCAAAAAATCGGATGTTGTACATCCGAAAATGAGAAAAAACATTGTTGGAGCTGCGGCTAATTTCCGATGTTCAACATCCGAATTTCTAATATTTTCGGATGTTGAACATCCGAAAAAGGACAAACTTATCTTTTTTAAAAAATGACGTTATGGAAGATAAAAGGCGGACACTTCCATAATAACAAAAACGATTTGATGTAACCGTAATAACGTAAACTAAAACGGATATGTACGTAAATTTTCCTAAAATAAATGATCTCGTAATAACATAAACTATAATTTTTCATAAAATAAATGATCTCGTACCCTACCATCCCAATAATAATTAGGAAGAAAAAAAGAAAAAAAAAGAATCCACTTACATTACCAAGGCTGATTTCGATTCCGTTAATTTTGGCTCTATTTTCTTGATGGTTCCCACCGCTATAAAACGTGACTCTCTCCAAATGACCTACCGCACTTTCAGTGCTTCTCTCCCGTTTCTGTAAAAGAAAAATGGCGAAATTGAAGAATTTTTTGTTTGTTCCCATCATTTTCTCTTCGTTATTTTCTGTTATTTCATCAGAAGTTCATATTGAAGAACGATTTGAAGGTGCCTGCGTCTTCATTTCATTTTTTTTTTCTTTTACTGGTTTTGGCTGATTATGCTTTTTCCTTCATGAACTGCTTTGATTTGCTGTTAATTTTAGTGTTTGCTACGATTTTGATGGAAGTTTAAACACTATTGCTGCTCAAATGTCGTTTCATTTCGTATATTGATCAGATCAGCCATATGTTGAATTATTTGTGTTTATTTACTTTGATGTATTGATTTTCTTCTTTTATCAGTGGTTCTTATTTCATGTTAACCATCGCATCGATTTTTTACTTAATATGCTAGCTTAATTTTTTAATTTCTTTTTTCTTGAGTAAAATAAGTGACTTATTTTGTAAGTTCTCATTAATGCATTTGCTGATTAGGTGAGCAAAGTCTCACGACTCACATTTGTTATCACTCAAATATAGCTTGCTTCAGCGTTTGAAACGGATGGCAACGATAAGTTTGATTGTTCTTTATTCGTAGTTACACAGTCCCATTATTCGTAGTTACACAGTCCCATTTTGTGGTTTTCAGTGTTTAGTGGATAATGCTGCTTTATATATTAATTATATTACTTATAACGTGTTCCGTATAGTGTGATTGATCCAGGGAATGATGTGCATTTTAGTATCTGTTAATAAAAGAATGCTATGCTACGGAAGTATTTGATCCATAATATATGTCTGTCATTTCCAATTTCTTAATCGATTTAGAATTTTACTTATTGGATATGTGAATCAATATTCTATTGATTTCTCTTTAGTGGATATCTTGCTGTGAGCTTTAAGAAATATTTGATAACATACTAAATTTTACACTTTGAGAAGGTTGAATGACAATAATTGCAATTCCTTACAAATTTCTTTGTGTTTGTTTCTTTGGATATAGGGAATTAAGTGTTAGATCTAGGCATCAGGCACTGTTTATGTGTTCTTTGACTAAAGACCCTCAAAAAATTTTAGTATTCTTAATCTCTAAAAAGGTGGGGTAAAAACTGGTTGAAGAGGAAAATGAAAGACTCCCAAAGTTTTCTGATAATCCTCAAAACAGCTTTCTTTTTTTGTTTGTAGACCTTCATGCCTCTCTTCCTGATAATATTTGAAAGATGCAAGTACTTTAATTTTCACAAAGGTTTATTTTTCTGATTCCCCTATCTTTGGCTACAATATTTGAAATTACTAATTTTTTAATCAAACAATTTCAGATGTTTCTATAAATTGGATCACCTTAATGGCCTCCTAGATATGTTTTCTTTTTCTGTGAACCATTAATCCATCAAAACTCTTTGAAGAACTAGGTTTAAATATGCTGCCCTTCAATAATATGATTTTTTGGATTGTTTCACTATTGCATTTAAGAGATTGAGAAAGAAAACTCGTGTATGTGATCATGAGTGTGTGCGTGCCCATGTGCGTGTGCGTGTGCTTGTGCGTGTGCGTGTGCGTGTGCGTGTGCATGTGCGTGTGCGTGTGCGTGTGCATGTGCGTGTGCGTGTGCGTGTGCGTGTGCATGTGCGTGTGCGTGTGTGTGTGCGTGTGTGTGCCCTCAAGCACCACATTTCTGATACTCTTACAATCCTATCCTCGCTGTAATGAATACAAAAGTTGTCTGTGAGATATAATATTATTCGATAACAGGCTGAAAATGCCAGGATGGTTTTCAATTAGCTAGACTCTCTTTGGGTCTCACCATGGCCTAGGAGCATGTTAGCTCAGTGAGTCCCAAGTGGCCTCTATGAGTTTTTCTAGACCTAGACGAGTTTCCCAACAAAACTCAATTGGGGAAAATAGAAAAAGTAAGAAAAATAAAAAATTCATAAAACATGAATACAAAATAGAAAATGATGAAAAAATATTTTTGATAAAATAAAAATAAAAAATCATAAAATTTGATTTTGTTGGCTTACACTCTATACATAAAATATGCATGTAATAAGTCTAGCTCGATAATGAAATATGGAAAAAAGTGCGTTATACTCTTTCATTTTTTTATTAAGAGAATGCCACAAAATACAATAATGACTAAAATATTACTAGATCTAGTGATATGATTCCAAAAAATTATTCATATGAATTTAAATTCAAAACTGAAACTCACCAAAAATGTTGAAACCAATCCTCCAATCTTTGCAGTCAGTGGGAACCAGTGCCTCCAATCTTTGCCAAAGAGTCCTCAGATACCTCAAATCTAATTTCGATGGTAAAAAACAAGCCTATGGTTTGATAAAGAGCTTAAAAATAGGCTTAGGTAACAAATTTTGACCCAGATTGAGCTGGAGTTGCAAAGAAATTGCGAGCTTTCAAACTTCAGCCAAATCCCACTTCAAAAATATAAAAGCCCCTCTTAAAGGGAAAAATGATTGGACTCGGTGAGTTGTGATAGACTCAGTGAGCCTGTAAAGAGACTTGGCTCGGAGACTTGCCGAGTCTCTAACAACTTGCCTGAGTTACTGCAGTAATTCAGGTGAGCGAAGCTGCAGTACCCACCTAAGCAAGAAAAAGAGGGGGGGTTTGTTAAGTGACTCGGCCGAGTCTGAGCTGAACTTGACGAGTTCTTTTACACTGCTTCAGTTCACTTTTGTTGCTGTCATATACAACTGAATGTTGTTTCTTGACCTGCTCAGCATTTGGCTTGGAAATCCTTGAAAGTACAAAGTTAAAATAGTGATATTTTTGCTAGAAATGAAACAGAATATTGGATATCCTGCTGATGATGATTGAGTGGTGACTTTGTCAATTTATGGTGAATCCTTGATGAATGCTTTTAAGATGTAGATATATCTCATATCTTAGATGTCAGTGTGTTTCATTTATTTTCTGTTATATTTCTCAGTAAACTTTCTGAATTTCTTACTTGTTATAACTAAATGATTGACTGGTGTCATTTGAAAACAAATATCGGTTGGCAGTTAGAAATCTCGGCAAGATAGTGAGTAACCATCATACATCCCACAATTGCACCAGATAACGGGATACACAGCAACCAGATAGCTATTCACATAGTATTGTATGTGAACCCTAAAGCTATTGATTATCCGAATCTTTTTTCCTATTCTATTTCTTTTGGTCCATTCCTGGAGTTTGTAGAGTGCTTCCCCTAAAATAGGACACTGGATGCCAAGGATACCATGGAATCAACAATAAGCTTGAATTAAGACTCCATAGGAATAAAGAAAAACAATAAGCTTGAAATAAATATAGTGAATCTTTGGTATAATCATCATCTGATGTCATTGGAATGGTATGTATAAGCAAAATGTGCATATACGTTTGAACATCTTCTTGGAGTATTTCACCCAAAAATGTTGTCTTGGAGTGTGCACTCTGGATTCAATATCCAGGATCTCTATTTCTATGTCAATCTGTTGTTGGATGTTACTTCAAAAAATTTTCAAGGCATTCATATTTTTTAGCACCTTCCATTCCTTCTGTATTTATTCCAATGTGCAATTCACCCTGTAGCATACATTTATGCTGGGAATTTCATTGGCCTATTGAGTCATTTGGTAAAAAAATTACATTTCAGAATAGTGATTATAGATAACTGTGATATCAAAAATGTTGACTCCAAACTATTAGAGGGTCTGTGGACAATGGTAGTCTTACTATATGTTTGACTAAGTTTGAATTTAATCGACTAAGTTTGAATTTAATCTTTTCTGTGATTTGCTGTTTTCTTTATTCTTCAGAATATATTGAAGATGGCTGGGAAAGTCGTTGGGTAAAATCAGATTGGAAGAAAGATGAAAACATGGCAGGGGATTGGATACATACTTCTGGAAATTGGAGTGGAGATCCTAATGACAAAGGTACTTCTTGTCCCTACAGCTGTATGCTTTAGAGATGTCTTATCAGATGTTTTGCACACTGAATTTTATGAATCTGGCTTTTAATTGGAGTTGGATGGGTCCTAAAGGTCAATTGGCAGGTGTATGTTTTATGCAAGAAGCCTATTTGTGATTTTATTTCCAATAGCGAATTATCACCCTTTTTCTTTTTTTTTCAAGGACTCTTCTCCTTTGATCTCTCTCTCTCTCTTTTTTTATCATATCATATATCTTATTNTATATATATATACTACTATTCATATATATCTACTATAT